CTGACACGTCCAGGAGAAGTAGGCTTGCTACCATCCCCTTTCCTGAACCCCAGGCTTCGTATATCCTATCCACGATTTGGTGCAGTGCGTGTTCCGTCGACCGACGTCTTCTCCCGCCCATGTGGCTATCTGGCAGCAATCCGTGTGTTTCGGCAAGGTAGCTTAGTCTCCTCGCTATGATGGCATCCATGATCTTGCCCACCGTGTTGAGGAGGGCTATCGGCCTGTATGCTTTGGGCACTGTGTAGTTGTCTTTGCCTGGCTTCCTGAGCACCACCGTGGTGGACTTTCTGAAGTGTTGTGGACAATATCCTAGTCGGAGGCTCTGGTTGAATATGCGGACGAGATGTGGCGTGATCCAAGGTCTCGCCACTTGAAGTGCCAGGTTCGTGATGCCGTCGGGGCCCGGGGCCTTCAGCGGTGCTGCTTCCTGGATGGCGTCTTCTACTTCGCTTTCCGATACTGGCGGCAGGCCTATCGGATTGTTGTACGATGCGTTGTCGATGTCTTCGAGGTTTGCCTCTGGCGGAGGGGGGAAGAAGGTCTCCTTGAAGAGTGCTGCTTTCTCCTCAGGCGTTGTGGCGACCTGAGACGCGTTGGGTTTCTTGATTTCCGGCGTAACGGTAGGCGGCTGGCTTTGTCTATTCCGGGCCCATTTGGCGATCTTCCACAGCGATCTAGGTGACTCGGCCGCTGTCTCGACTGCTTCGCGGTGTGCTTGTTGGAGAGCTTTCTTGATGATGCGTCCTTTCCTGTTGCGTGCTGTTCTGTATGCCTCCCAGCTCTCCTCTGTCTGTCGCTCGCTGTGGTCGCGGCGGAGTCGCTTCGTCTCGGCCAGGATGGCTGCGCACTGCTCATCCCAGCCTCTCCTGGACTTTGGTGAGAGGGTGCTGGTCGGGACCGCGGCTTTGATAGCGGCTGAGAGGGCGTCCATGGTTGTCTCTACATATCTGTCGAGCGCCGCCTTCGTTCTTGGCCTTCGTAGCTGCGGCAGCGATCCACGGAGAGTCTCGATAAACTTTTCCTTATCAATAGCTTCCCACTTTCGTTTCTCCTCTCGCTGTAGCTCGGTCACTGCTAGGTGCAGCGACGTTGCTATGGGTAGATGATCGGAGTCATGGTTGATGTTGTGATCTACTTCGCATCTGATCATTCGGTCAACAAGACCTACAGTAACAAGACAGAGGTCGATGGTTGTCCGGCGGTCTCCTTCTTCGTACGTAATGGTTCCCGCTCTCAGTTGACTCGTGAGGTTCATGTCGTCCATTAGATCTAAGAGCTCGGTTGCTTCGCGGTCCGGCGCTCGGATATCGCTGCCTCCCCACAGCTCATGGTGTAGGTTGAAGTCACCGACGACGATTTGCTCGACGTGCTGGTGGGTTTCCAGTGTTGTTCGTAGCTGCTGTAGGACCGGCTGTCGATCTTCCTCCCGCGGTGACGGGTTGTACACATTATGTAGCACTAGGCTTGTTTCGGTATCGTCATCTGTTGCGATCACCAGAGTGCAGAGATCTCTGCTGACCTCCCTAAACTGCCAACGAGAGTGGTCGAGCTTCTTGTTGATGAAAAAGCAGACCCTGGCTGGGCCATTTTCCTCGCCGAGGGGGTAGCACAGGTGGAACCGATCCTTGGCCGGATGGTGCGTCGTTGCGCTGTAGGGGTTCCTCCAGGGCTCCTGAATAGCAATGATGTCGTAATTATCGATGTTCGGGTCACGGAGAAGTGTCGCCATGACGGTATCCTTCGATTTTCTTACGTTTTACTGTAGTATTGTGAGTGTATGTTGTGCGTTCATTCGCTATCGTCGACGACGATCTCCATCGCTGTGCTGTTGCTTATTGTCTGCGTGTCTGTCATCTGCGTGTTGGGGTCGAGCGCCTCGAGCGCTCTTCGCGATCGGATGATTGTGCGTCTCGGACGCGTATTCTCTGCTGCTACGGTGATCGTCTCCTCCGATTCCTGGGTTGCTGTCGGGTTAGGCCTCTTCTGGATTTTCTTCGTCGGGGACCGGCTCCGGCTCGGGCGATTCTCCTGGGATTGTCCTGGTTCCAGTGGCGGCCGTGCCATTCTCGGGTTCGGCCTGGTCCGGGTTTCCGATCCTAGGGTCGGCGGCGGGGCCGTCTGTTCCGGATGGTACCTCGACCGTAGGCCGTAGGCGGCCTTGATCTTGGCCTTCTCGCGTATCCTGGTAGGGCATCCGCCGTGCCATGCCTCGTGTTCGCCGTAGCATGCGGCGCATTTCCTTGGGGTCGTCGTGTCGCTTTTCGAGGGGCAATCTCGGGTCGCGTGTTCTTGCGCACAGTAGCCGCATGTTGTCGTTGCCTTGCACTGGGTTCCTATGTGGCCGTATGCGCAGCACTTGAAACACTGCCTCAGACGGCACTGTCTATCGTATCGTTCGCATTGGAACACCTGGCCTTGCCAGATGAGTCCCTCGTCAATGAGTTTGTTGGCGTCTTCTGCCCTTGAGAGCTCCACGACCACTGATGATGCCGTCTTTTTGCTGGCCGATTGGGTCAGCCAGCCTACGTATTTGATGTCTGCTCTGGGGATGAATGCTTTGTTGTCCTGCAGCAGGTCGTCCCTGATTTCTGTAAAGCGGTCCATGCTCATGGAGCTGGTTCTGATGCCGTGCGCCAGCACTCCGTAGGTTGGGATCCTCACGGCGGCTCCGTTGCCGATGTGGTTTTCCCAGTCCTCGGCAAACTGCCGGAGGGCCTCCATGTCTTTCGTCGTTGCTGTCTTGACGCTCAGGTCGCCGCTCTTGAGCTGATTGGCGGACACGGTCTTGAGCTTGCGGATATGCTCGTTGCTGCTTTGTTCGATGGCGCGGTCTACGTGCGCCTTGAGGCTACGGGGGTTCATGGCTCTTATGCTGGCAATGGTAATGGGGTCTCTAATGTTCACAATGATTTCACGCAGGGTCTGGGTCTGGGACGCTCTCTGGTTATAGGGGTTATGCATGCTCCCTGCAAGTCCTCCTCGGGCGGCTACGCTGGCATATGACTGCACGGTGTTCCCCTGATTCATCGGCCCCAGTGCTTTGATATCCTTCACGACCTTGACCGCCAGCTCGCTGGCTTTCCAAGCCTCCTTGGCAGCCGCGCTGGCTGCGCGCGTTGTGTTGGTGTTTTCCTTCAGTTCGGCCATATTCTGCTGCATAGCAATCCTGATGGTTCTCGATTCGTGGATGTTGCTCTCGTTGGCTGTCTTGTTTTCCGCACGTAGACTCTCAATAGCTTGGTGGAGGTGTCCGAGCTCGGGCAATTTCTGCAATTTGGCCAGCAGGGAGATGGTGGCAATGAGAGTGAGTCTCACGGCTTTCGGGTCAAGGGGGTGTTCGTTTGCGGTGTCGATTGATTTGAGTGCTGTCTGAAGGTGTCTGCTAAGTTGAGTGGCGTGCTCTCGATGGTGCGTTGGCCATGTTTGCTCCTGGGGCCATGGGGTTGCCATGGTGCCTACGTCGTTATGGGCTTCGCGACGAGCACACGGCTATCCAATTGACCTTTCGGAGTGTATTGTGGCGCTGTTTTTGCTCCAATTTCAAAAATTTCGTTCTCGCTGTTGTTGATGTTTTCCAGTCCCACGTTGGTACATAATAGCAGATTCTGGACCATAAGTTGAGTTCCGCGTGTCACGAGATCGCGTGCCAGGGTGGTGTCAGGAGTCTTGGCGAAGCCTTGACCCCTTTTCTTGCGGCGGCGCGCCGCTGGCACAGTGCGATTTCAGTTTTCTCTTCTTCGCGTTACGCCTTGTGTGGACGTATCTAGACCCGACACTACGGGTCATTACAATCCATCT